TGCTGTGAAACCCAGCCAGCTGAGTCCAGGGACATATGAGGGGGTCAGCTTGTGAGTGCTGAGTACCCAGTCCTCTCAGACATGCTCTTATTAGTGGGTGTGAGTGTCTGTGTGTGTTGCCAAGGTGGTAAGAACCCCATCCTGAGGAACCTAGTTCCTGCAGGAGAGCTCCAGTGGGAGGGGGAATTGGCAGCAGGGAGAATTCAGCTCCATATGAGAGCACAAGCAAGCACCAACAGCACACTGATAGAATTAGAGGGGTAGCTGTGTTAGTCTGAATCTGCAAAAGCGACAAGGAGTCCTGTGGCACCTTATAGACTAACTGAAGTGTAGGAGCATAAGCTTTCGTGGGCAAATTTCCACTACATGCATCTGACGAAGTGGGTCTTTGCCCACGAAAGCTTATGCTCCTACACTTCAGTTAGTCTATAAGGTGCCACAGGACTCCTCGTCGCTTTTACTGATAGAATTGTTAACCTTCCCCCAGTCCCATCAGGGTAACCCTGATAAATGAGCATACCCCAGAGTATTGGGCAAATCTGGTAACACTACTCTACTCTGACAGACTTCAGTCAGTCCTGACTCCCTAGGCCTCCCACATTTCTACTATTGGCAGTCTCTCCCAAGACAGCTCAGCCAACGAGCCATCTGCTTAATGCTTTGCTTCTCCTGTGCAGAGCTGTCATAGCTTTCCACTTACGCCTCTGGACGCTTGCTCCGGTTGGGTCCATGGTACAGACAGACACGCAGTTTACCATTGCTTACATGTCTCTCAACCTCCTTTTTCCAGTGGTGGATCAGGGATGCTGGGCAGACAATTAAAGTACCTCGGGAGAGGATGACCGAGGAATCTTAAATAGAAAGAGCAGAAAAAGAAGAGATTTCAGGGTCTTCTAAGCAGATTGCGATCGGGATGGGATTTCCTAGCCAGCTGCCTTGACTTCACAAATCTTCCTTTTTTTTTTTAGAGGAGCAGGCCCACTTTTCCTATGCATATGGCTCTGCAAAGTAGATGGGAGTGTCATTATGTGTTTCAGTGCCTCAATATATTCCTGCAGTTTCACATTTTAGAGAAAATCTATGTAATATTAAAAAAACATATGCAAACAAAACTTTCTAAACATCAGCTTATTTTTCACACATACAATGCTAAATAGCAACAAAAGCATGTTAACAAAAATATTGCGCATGAAGCCCAACTAGTATAATAAATAAGGATTTTAATATGAAGCACCAAAAGACTAAAGTGCCTTATTACCACACTTCACTACAGCTGTTTCAGCATGCTGAAAGTCTGGAAAAAAATGTAACAATGTGACATCTCATGAAAACAGTCTATGCAAAACTAAGTTTTATCTTAGGAAAAACTATTACTGATAATAAGCTACTAGTGACCTCATGCACCGGCTTCCTTGGGCTTCAGAATGCAGAGCTGCAGCTGGGGGGAAGCGATTAGTTGATAGTGCTAATTGATAAGCTTCTGCATATTGATTAGTCAAATAATTAACTAGACACTAACATCCCTAAACTGAAGATGGAGCCATCATTCTGAGGAAATAAAGTTTCTATGTAAAAGTGCTTATGAACACACACACAAAACCAGATACACCAGTGTTATCAGAGTTAAGTGTGCAGGGTTGGGGGTTTTTTTCAACTGTAGGAGGGCATATGCAGCCTCCATTTGGCTTTAGAACAAGACATGTATCACATTATCTGGCTTCTATGCTTCAAAACTAAGCATAGATTAAATACTAACAGGGGATTCTTTCCCTCGCCCTCAGAAATGGAACAGTTTTTGTGGTTCTCTGTGTCTCACAATGCTGGCAAAATCCTTCCTACTGAGATTCAAGGGGGGGGGGGGGGGCGTTACACTAAACAAAAAAACAAAAAAAAGTCAGACAGTCATTTGGATCCCAAGAATATCTCCATATGTAAATGGTAAGAGTTCTATCACAGTACTTGGATTTCTAACAGCTGCATCCCTTAACACTCTTGTTTAGACTCTAACCAACCAAACATAACCCCCAAAGATTTATGAAAGACCTATAGTTCCTCATTACTGGGCAGGCAGGCAGGCAGGCAGGCAATGACACTGTACTGCCCCTTCTCCCCACCCCCAGAGTTTATGAACTCCACTTTACCCAGGGGCACATTTAATAACTTGAAGAAGGCCCAGGGGCAAAATGTAGCCTTCTGATGTTCACATGCAGCTCACTGCATAGGGCAAGGCTCTATATTGCCTGCATATAATGAAACAGAATGCATCTGCCTCGATTCTAATTACAAATCCCACCATTCACATCTCTATCCTGATGAAGTGAAGCACTATAGTACCAGCACACACTTTCTGCTGGGCTTTATCCTCAAGAGCTAAGTATAGAGAAGTCACTTTGTAGCCCATTGTGGGTCAGACTTTGGCTATCCAGGTATCACAAAGCATGTTGCCTACACACAGCGCATATCTTTTTGAGAGCCCAGACACTCAGCTTTTGTGTTGCAGGATAATTATTCAATACCATGTTTGGACATCCGCATTTCTAATTTCTTCTCCTTTCCTTCCCCCTTCTGTAGTCTTTTCTGGGTCAGAATGAGAGCGATCATTGTTAGAGTCTTCCCCAGGCCCATATCATCCGCTGGCAAGAAAAAGCAGAGAGAAAGGTCACGATTACCTCACAGAATCAGTCTACATTAGGGATGTAAGCAAGTTGCTGAGTCACTAGTCAACTAGTCACTTCTCCCCACCCTTTCTGCCTCTATTAGCAAAAAGCAGCAAGGGAGGGGAGCAGGAGCTGGAGAGCCAGCTTAAAAGCCAGTTTCCCCCAGCATCTTCTCCACAGGAGAGCAAGAGAGGCAGAGACATAGCGGGGAACTGGATGCAAGCCGGAACTCAGCTGTCCCGGTTTGCGCCTGGTCCTAGGTGCTACACCTCTGCCTTTTAAATGTAGGAACAGCTCTTCCTACATTTAAAAGGCAGAGCCACAGAGGGGTTAGCTTCTGCACTGGGAGCTAACCCTGCTGCAGCTCTGCCGTTTCTCCCTTATCAACTAACTGAATAGTCAATGGAAATTCCATCAACTACTCAATTTAGTTGATAAAACACAATTTAACATCCTTAGTCTACATAGCTCAAATCTGTGCTAATGCATGTCAAACTTATGAGTAACATAGTATTTGCTGATCCTGTAGGATCTTGCTACCAAAAGCTATAATTTGCTGTGGGCTGCTCATCCATATTTGGATGGGAGCCATGGAAAACAGAATTCTCCAAGAAATGAATCCCAGCCTAAATACAGCTGTCACCATTGCTGCCATGGTGGAGAATTAATTTCAAGGCAGGTTTTCGTAGGTACACTCAAAAAGGTACACTGCTTCATTATGTTGCTTACCCAGAATTCCTCCACATGGTCTCTGACTCTCCCTCCAGAGTAGCCAAGCAAGTGCCTGCTTCTGGTGCAGCAACAGAGGCACCTGCAAAGATTAGGTACAGGATGTAAAATGTAATGGTCTTTCAGAGACATACTGCTCTCAGATATTTCTGTTCTCAATGCCATGTTGTTTGATTGAGCAAGTTCTGTTTTAGTGGACAAGTGCTAAGCATACAGTTGCATCAGCCTTCTTTCCAAGACAATACAAACATTGCAGAAACTGGCACCAGCTACTCTGGGCATGTCTACACTAGGAAATTATTTTGAAATAACTATTTCAAAATAGTGTGTCCACGCTACAGGGAAGCCTTGAAATTAGTCCGAGGCAGGCTCCCTTAATATGGACGCGCTACCGCACATAGAGTCCCAGGAAGCACTGAGGAGTCATTATTTTGAATGACTCTGGGGAGTAAGCATTTTGAAATAGCAGCAGTGGACCATCCACACTAATGCTATCTTGAAATAAGTGTTTTATTCCTCATGGAAAGCAGGAGTTATCTTGAAATAACCAGTGCCTTATTTTGAAATAACGGGCGTGGCATTATTTTAAAATAACTCCCTAGTGTAGACCAAAGGTCTGAGGACATGTCTACGCTGGGGAATTATTTCAAAATAACTCCTCTTATTTCGAAATGCAAGCATCCACACTATCAAGTCTGTTATTTTCAAAGTAACTGCTGCTTGTGAAAAGGAATAAGCTTATTTTGAAATAATTTCCTAGTGTAATAATAGCCTGAGATGATGCCTTCTGCAACAACAAGATGCTATAAACATGATAAAACAGCTTAACTTATACTAATATTTCCCATACAAACTGGAAGGAATTTTTAAATGTATGATATTTCCAAAGAAATCTGAAAGACCTTTTATGAGAACAATGCCATTTTAAAAGTTTTATTTTACTATAAAAGAGATCACCTTCTGAAAAGCAGATCTATTCAGTGTAGGAAATTTCCCAATAAACGTGTTTTTATCCTTGGCAATGATGTCTAGCAAATATTGCAACTTTCAATCCAATATGTTATATTAATTGCACAAGCATCTAAACTAGTTCGTCATATGAAATGGAGTGGAAATCTGAAGTTTTATTTAGGATAAAGGGAATTTTTCATAACTAACTGCATACAGCACAATCATCAACTCCTAATAATGTTGGAGGAGGAAGTTTGACAATTAATTTAGTCTCTCTGTATTCCTCTACTGCCTACTGCATAGGACTAATTACCGTACCTGTGTAACGTAAAAGTTGTTTTTAATAATGAAACAGTCTAGATGATTATGGCAGAGAGCTGCCAATAACATAGCTACCAGCATTTTTATAGATTAGCTGGCTCTGTAATATCTAGGATCTACATGAGTCATTAAAGAATGACAATTAAATCTGGCCAGCAGGGACACATTTTCTTTTTGATCCCCATATGGGATTGTGCAATATTGGGAAAAAACGGCGAATATGATCTTTGGCTATATAAAGATGGGAGTAGTGAGTAAGAGGATGATTTTATCTCTATGCATATCCTTTGTAAGACTGATACTAGAATACTGGTATTCACATTTTAAAGAGACTGTTCAAAAATTATTTTAGCAAACAGATTAAGAGGAGACTGGATTACAGCATATAAATTACCTCCATGGGCAAAAAGTGCCAAGTACAGGCAGTCCCCGACTTACGCGGATCCGACTTATGTCGGATCCGCACTTACGAATGGGGATTTTCTTGCCCCGGAGCTCACGGGCGGCGGGTCGCCACCCGTGTCCTCCGGGGTGAGAAAAGCTTCTCCCGGTCTCCCTGGTCTGCTGGGGGGGTCCAGCAAAGCCGCTGGACCCCCCCAGCAGACCAGGGACACCAGAGCAAAGCCGCCGCCTGGGCGGCTTTGCTCGTTTGCCTGGGAGCAAAGCCGCCCCCTGGGCGGCTTTGCTTGGGTGTCCCTGGTCTGCTGGGGGGGTCCAGCGGCTTTGTTGGACCCCCCAGCAGACCAGGGAGACCGGGATAAGCTTTTCTTGCCCCAGAGGACACGGGTGGCGACCCGTCGCCCGTGAGCTCCGGGGCGAGAAAAGCCCCGGTCGTAAGTGCGGCT